GTTGAGCAATAGAAACTTTTGCTCCAGAATGCGAAGCCAATGCTCCGCATCCAGGGGCTCAGCCATCGATGTGAACATGGGCGGGTGCGTCTTGAGGAAATCCTAATAAGAGCAGGGTCCCTCAGGACCACGGGCACCACCCCCGTTCCCACCATTGCCCCCATAGCCTCCACGGCCGAAGCCACTGATAGCCGTGCCAGCAGCTCCATGGCACGGGCTGACTCGCGACGAGCAGCCATCATTTCCGCCATCATCTCCACGTGAGTTATCGGCGGTGGCGGTGGCGGAGGAGGAGGAGCCAACAGTGGAGCCTCATGGCTCTCCCCGTTACCGTGCTCATTGGCTCGGCCACTTTCACCTTGGCCCTCGCCAAGACCATGGCCCGCTCCGGCACTGGTGCTCCCGCATCCGAACTGTAAGAGATAGGAACCAACCTCTTAGGGCAACCTTCTAGATCAGAAATAAGGGATTAAAGAAATGACGAGACATTTATTAAAACATTCTTTTAGTTGTTCTATCAATTTACTAATCCAATTATACGTGTAGGGGGACTTTAGTTTAAGCAAGGTGCTACTATCATGATGCATGTATCGGCCTATACGCTCACTCAAGCCAGAATATAGCGGCATTCGCAAAATTTCGGCACATCGCACACTCACTTTCCGTATGCTAAGCGATTTCTTATGCAACATAAGTCAGTGTACCTACAGAAGACTGATTAGATAAAACCAGTGCCGCTATCCTATCTAAACCATATTGTTAGGGCTTATACTTATTTACATAACTTTAGCACATCCTACTTTTTGTAAAACTTTTGTTGGTCAAATTTTAAGTTTTAAAAAAGAGTGATGAACTCGTAAACTCATTATTGGCTCTGGTACCAACTGTGGCAGAACAACCCGAAATAACGCACTTACGGAGGCGCTCGTCTTCCACCAGACACTAAGCACCCCGTAAGCAAGTTACAGCGGGCGGTTTCCGTTAGGCACACCCCAAGGCAGAGCCTAAAAGATCCACATTTTCCCCAAGGATCCAATAATGAGGACGAGTTACAATACTTAGTACATTTTATACGTCCAGAGTTCTTAGAAATTCATTATTACATTACCAAATTCAAAGTGCGAAATATTAAACAACGAAATAATAATAAACATCTATCGACAAAGAACAAGGATCCATCTGTGCCCACCAGAAGAATCCTTCACACAATGGTACTCCTCAAGCATTACCTGCAACAGGGGTAAATAAACCGTGAGTACACAATGTACTCGCAAGACTTACCTGACTAGTGAGAATAATTTCCTGACTCTAAGGAATGCGGTAAGCTTTATGGTTTGCTGGTTTCCTTTTTGCAGAAAGTAATACTAATAGTGAGTCCTTATTTATATTATTATTAGCAGCCATGATTAATTTATTATCTAGCCATTCTATGTAAGCACATGTTCTACTTCCAAGTAAGAGTTGAGTAATCAGTTCTATTTCATCACCTTCCATCTTTCACTTCTTACTATGGTGCTAGAGTTTAGACAAGCCGTACCGGATTTCCTGGCGATTTGCGAATCATGAGTGATCGTAATTATCACCTATTGTGAGTAACGGCAGGTTGCTCACGCTACCGAAATCCTGAGGATAGCAGCTACTCGACCTGTACTAAAAGGACTCAGAGGTAGATATATTTATGCATGTAGTTTTTATAAAATGCCTGTAACGTAAATGCACATCATATATATATATATATATATATATTCAGTGAATATTAAAAATATAGGTTATGCATCAGGGCTTACCTTGGACAGGCGGTGGGTCGACAAAGTCAGCACCAAAAGGCTCTGGGGCTCCCTCCTGCACGAGAATCTCCTCCTCGTACTCCTCAATGACCTCCTCGTAGTCATGTTCGTCCGTAGGCACGAACTCTAACAACTCGTGATCTACATGCATGAAATGATGATGCAACACTTAGTAATACGGTAACAGCAACTCTTAAAATAAAAATATGTCTATCAAGCTACTAAGCGAGTTCTACCGACTAAGGTGCTAATTTACCTACTGTTACCAGTAACAAGTATGAAGCATGACATATATTATCTTAGCAACTAAAGGTATTCTTACTCTTAATACCGATTTTACTCTATATACAATAAAAGAAAGAGTACTAGCTATTCTATTTATCCACCTACTTTAGGGCTACGAAAATTACAGTGAGTACATAACAATCTAATGAACCTACTGTAAAAATTTTATGTCTAAATTTATCATCAATTTGCCACAGAAATTCCTACAAATATTAAGCTACATAATATTAAGCTTTCTAAATTGAATTTATGAACATATCATTCTCATAGCTAACTATAAACTAACTACATCAACAGATAGATGGCATTTTTTTGAACCTAACAAATTTTGTTTTATTATTTTTGGACATCTATAGAATTTACTATTATTTTTCAAAGTTCAGCTCCAAACTAATTTGAATAAACATTCATAATTTCACTGGAAATTAAAAAGCCGAATTCCTAAGCGCGGCCCGCGAGCGAGCCTCTCGGCCCACTCTAACGCCCTCGCGCATGCGCATGCGCAACACACCAGCGCGGCCCACACGCGACAGCGGCCCAACACGGGGAGACCCACGCGCGCAGCGACAATTATGCAAAATAGACCCCGGCTTCCAACTAAATGAACATGCGATCCTTACCACTATTTCACTCTCTCTCTGACGCTTGCACTTAACCCTCCGGTTCACTATGAATTCTCGTTTCAAGGTCCCTAGTCGGAATTTAACAGAGGCCGCGGCATCTCCGGCCAAACGTCGGCGAGCACGGACCTCCTTGGCAGCAATACTCATAACCGCGACACTCCTCATCACAAGCGCATTCGATAGAGGTAATAAACACCACGATTGGTGCCACACAGAGGTGTGGCCACACACCACGGCAGGGTTGGGCCGTGGTGACACTGACGCCGATGAATTAACCTAGCCTAACGCCTCTACCACTACTCTAGGAGCGAAGGTGCCTCCCCATATACGTGAAGGATGGTCTGGACGAAGTCGCGGGACTCTTCAAGGTGGTTGGCCACGAGCACGAGGTCGTTCTGGTTCACGGCAAGCACGACGATGGCGTCCCCGGTGACCTGCTACTCCGCCGGTGACACTGTTACACGGGCGAGGCAACCAAGTCAACATGACACGAAGGCACCGCTTAATTGAGACAAAGGATCAAGGAGCGACGCCATGGCCGAGCACCCGCCTCGACAGCCATGGTGGACCGCCGCGGGGAAAACGCTCTGCATTACCTCACTGTAGGATGGAAACTCGTCGGGACGACTCCAATCGCTGGCTAACTAATAGGGCTAGTTGGGTGCACGGTTAATTGGAAGGAGGTGGACTACGCAAGGCTAATTGGATGGATGACGGCGTTCGGACTTAAGGGGGTCGACGGCGGGGGAAAACTCCAATTGAAGCCCCGACACCGTATGGCCACAACAGTGGCAAGCTTGGCGCGAAGCTGGACTCCAACTCGACCTCCAGACGTGCGCAATTATAAGGATGGGGCCAGCTCTGTGGGTTTTGCCTTGGCGTTGCACGGCCGACGCGACGCCATTGAAGGTGACGTGACGGGGAGCTTGGCATGGTGTAGCCACTAATGGGGGAAGGACGGTAGCGCGACGGTGAAGGCTCCACGTGCGCGTACGAGTCCAGCACAGCGATGTGCGACCGCAGCGCCACGACCCGCAAGACGACGACGGCTCGACACTGCGCGCCGCAGTGACTGACGCTGGTCCGGGAAGGCAGCGGCGGCGACGCACGAGCGCGGACGTGATCGCGAAGGCAGGCGGGGCAAGCCCACGCGCGTGCAGCCGTAAAGGTCAGCGGCAGCAGTGACCGTGCGAGCGGCGGTCGAAGCGCAGCGCGACAGTGGAAGCAGCTCGACACAACGGCGACGGCGATTGCGAGCAGAAAGCTCAGGCAGACGCGACGGCAGGCAGAGCAGCTAGGCTCGCTGGACCCCAGCGTGCGCGCGAGTCGTGTGCCAGAGCACGGTAGCAGGAGGTCGTGGCCAGCAGCGCGGAGCCACGTGCGCGGGCGTGCGCGCGCATGACCGTCGGGCAGCCGGCGCGGCAACATCGAGAGCCGGGCAGGGTGACCGTGCCCAGGCGCTGGCACTGTTCAAAAACGTGACTTGCACGCTTTTTAAAGCTGCTTAAAAATCCAACCCGATGATCCAGTAGCTACACCACCTATTTTACGCTCGAGATAGTATGTCAAACTACTAAAACCAACCATAAAATTACACTACTTCTTAATCCAATTTGCCTACGAAAATTCCCAAACCTAGCTTCATCAAAGCGTCGTCCACCTTAGGAATTTTGGCTAAGTCTTAAACGGTTTCGCATCGAATGCGATTTCCAAGCTATTAAGTACGCTATTTAGCGAATCCCGTTCTCGACCGTCACCTACAAAGTTTGTACTACAACTTTATTGAAGTTCCGTATATGCGTTCTATAGCATTCTCATTCAATAAAAATTCATTTAGAACCCTAAGTGACATAACACGACATGAACTATATCATTCGTTTCGCGTTTCCGATGAACGTTTCGAGTCACATAAATTGATTTACACATTATATTTTATACATTTACATATAAGTATGATGCTCATGCAGTGTTTTAGCAAAAGGCTATACAGTGTAACACCGAGGGTGTTACACATATGTCCTACTACTTTTCTTTTCCGGCAGAACGCAAAGTATTTATTGATTATTTTGAATGAAACTACAGAAACTTCTTAAAGTTGTCCTTGTGGTCACTCTGACTCAGACAAGATACTGAGTTGCCCCTTCTAATTGCCCTCTAGAAATGCTCTCGTAAACCCCATTTAGCCTAATAGAACAAGGCTTATACTGTTTGGCACATGTTAATACCAGCTTAATGACTACTACTGCTCCAAGTCCAAGGACAACTTAGTTGAAGCTGAACTACTAGAGTAAGTAAACTGTCTGTATCATGATTCCCAAATGGGTTTCTCCAGTGCAATGGAGTCAAGAGATGACTGATGGTAAGAGTAGATATGTTCCTGCGACTTCTGCTGCTCATCAGAATAGCTCAATGCTGTCACATCTGCATTGTAAGTCTCAGAACTCATTTCCAAATTCCCACTGCCTCCTAGTCCTAGAAAGTCCTGGGTTAGTCCAGCATCTCCTACCCCTGAAATATTTTCCTGCCTGTTGTGTTGCGTTTGGCTTCCAGAAAATATGCCGGAGCTCTCCTTTTCTTCTCTCATGTCAAATGGATTATTCATTAGTCCAATTAAAGGCACTGTGGTAGGCCTGTAACTATTCACCCATGGTGTGTTCATCAGAATGTTACCGCGACCACTCATGTAAGAGCCCTCATCTTCAGCTGCCTTGATGCCAATACTGTTAGCTGCTGAATTCCCGAGGGAGTCTCCCTGGCTTCCAGAAGATATGTCCATGTGATCTCTAGGACTAGGAGTCGTCACGTTATTTGGGAAACTTTTTAGGAGCAATGGTGATATAGGATCCTGGCTGGTCTTCGCACCCATCACTGCAGCTTTCTGAAGCAGTGCAGTAGCAGACATGTATGGAGAATTCATGGACATATAAGGGTAACTCGACGCACTTCCATCAAGTGGAAAGCCTGAATCCTTGGGTGATATCTGGTTGGAGAACACTGTTGTGTTTCTTGTAATCAGAGCATTAGACAAGTTTGCCATCACATCAGTTGGTGAAGTGGGGAAGGCAGTTACTCCATGTGAAAAGATATCATGCTGGTGACCATGCAGATTTCCCACCATTGTTGCAAGGCTATGGTTAACCTTGGAGTTGTCTTCAGCAAGTGCATCACAGAAGGCTCGATGTGTGATGAAGCTATCCTTTCTGCAAATATATACAATTGAATTTGAAGGTAAATTTTTCGAAGTTGATGTGGGAGATATAAATACTCGTATATAATATTCCCAGCAATGCTCAAGGATGTCAAGGAATTCAACATTGCATTGCTTCAGTTGCTGATACAGTTTGACGTCTACGGAATTGGTAAACTTATTTGTTTCGGTTACTGTGAACAATGAACATAGACATACCTTGAAAATAGTGTTCCACAGTCGCATCGATACTCCTTTGTGCCACATATCTTTGTGTGGGCCTTCCAGTCCGACTGGACAGCATACTTCTTTGAACACCTGTCACACTTCCACTTCTTCTCCCCATGTTTCCTGGAGTAGTGCTTCTTTATGCCTGTGAGATCGCCCAATGCTCGGCTTCCATCATGATGAGGGCAGGTGACCTCAGGGCAGACATACACCTTCTTCTTAGCTTCAGTGCTGCTTCTCTGCTTCAGCTTCCATGGTAGGTTATGGCCCCTCCTATGGAGCTGGAGGTTCTGGTCTCTCTGGAAGCCCTTGTGACAGACCTCACATATGTATCTGTTTGTTGCCAGGAGTGTCTTGGGTGACAAAGCCACTACTTCCACATCAGCATCTGCCAAAGGGATATCATGAACCAATGTTAGGTTTTCACAAGTGTTTAAGTGCACACATTCTAGTTATCTTTTTTATCACCTCCATCTATAATCAGGTCGTATGTTGAACTGTTGGTACCTATGTCCTGTATAAGGTTGAACACAGACGAATATTATCCCAACCTGACCCGCCTGTTTTTCTACATTTCACCCGCCTATTTCTGTATTTTCGGAAAAATCCAGAAACGTTATGGGATTTGGCCGGAAATATCCCCTATTTGTTCCGTATTTCTGAAATCCAGGATGATCCCAAGCGACAACTCCCCTAAGGCCCAATAACTAGAAGGCCAACGTCTGCAGGCTGCAGCCCAATAATACAAACCTCGTCCCTGTCCGGCCTAGCCTGCTGGCTGCTACTTTTTTTTTTTTGATAATAAGTATCTATATTTCTAGATAAAGAAAACGTACACATAGGCGTACAAATACAGACACGTACGTAAAGGATACGGATACAACTGTTCCAGCCGAACTACACAAAGGACCCTAGAAACAAAAAATATTACAACGATGCCCCTAGATCCTTCGCGATTCCTCTGTGGTCGTCCACCTCGTCGCCGGCCACTGCCAACAAAGAAGAAGACGATCACCACCATGGGCTGGAGAAGTCCCATTGCACGCTGGCTTTGAAGTGGAGTCGAAATTGACAACCGTCGAGAAAACGGGATGAAGCCGTCGGCGATCGCCCATCGATCGGGGCTAGCTCCCGGATCTGTGCTCGCCGTCGACGGCCATCGACGCCGAGGGAAGAAAGAGCCAGATCCGGCCAGCCACCAACCACATCACCCACGAACAGAACCGCATCCAACCAAAAACAGGCCAGCAGCAACATCACCTGGCAAAGACGAAGGTGCGCCGGCCCCGAACTCCTTCGCAGATCTCCCGGACCCCGCCGTCGGCGCTGGAGCGGAACGCCGCCGGGACGAAGGAGGGGTGGAGAAAGATTATTCCCCAGCGTCATCAATGCCTTCGCCTCGTCGACATCACCCAGAAAACCACGCTGCAGAGGAACAACCCCCGGCAAACCCTAGCCTCGCCATCAACAGACGACGGGCAAACCCTAGACCTAGGTAAACCACTACCTACTCTATATACAGCCGCACGGCGATTCCCCGGCCCACCTCCCTCTACGACGCCTCGCCGACCACTGGAGAGGAAGAGAGCCGGCGGAATCACCGCCGGAAGCGCGGTTCGCCCTCTCTTCGCCTTTGGCAACTGTAGCAAGGGGAAAAGAGGAGAGACCAAGGCCTTGTTTAGATTGAAAAAAATTTCAACCCGATAAATAGTAGCACTTTCGTCTTATTTGGTAAATGTTGTCCAATCGTGGATCAACTAAGCTCAAAAGATTCATCTCGTGATTTCCAACTAAACTGTGCAATTAGTTATTTTTTTTTACCTACATTTAATGCTCCATGCAAACGGCTAAAAATTGATGTGATGGAGAGAGAGTGAAAAAACTTAGAATTTTGAGGATATCTAAACAAGGCCCAAGTGTGTTTTGCTGCTGGCTGCTAGCCTGTCGTTGCTATGTTCAAGCTGTAGAGGCATACTGGTGATGTGTGCACGCGGGTGTACGGCCTGCTCCATGCATTCCTGAAGTGCTACTTGCCTTTTGCTTCCCTGTGAGCATTAACAACTCATACAGGCACACGTAAGTGCAGCAGTGCATGCATTTGAACACAGCACACTTGCACTTGCACAAGAGCACGATTGATGAATGAGAATGATGATTTTATATTTGCGTTGGTGTTGCTGCAAGCTGATTATAGAATGTAATATACTCAATAAATAATCGTGATTCCGGCTTAAGTGTCCCATTTCCGCCCGTTTCCGTTGCGTTTCCATCCGTACTTGTTCGTTTCCATATAACCAGTATATTCCGATTCCGTACCCGTTCCCAACTATTCCGATCCCGGTCCGGTGCCAAAATATAGAAACAGAAACAGGAAGAGGGTTTTTCCGCCTGTTTCGGTCCGTTTTCATACATAGTCCTGTAGAACAATCTGGTTATCTTTGCTACTTAGGAATGAGTGCTTTAAATTGCAACACTCGATTTATTATAATGATTATCTATCTATTCAGAATCTTTTAGTTCCATCTATGTATTTCAAATCTTGGTGGGAAGGAGTCTGAACAAAGTAAAAATATGCTTTGTGGAGGTAGGCATAGAGCTGATACTAATGGCCAAACAAGAAAAAAAATGCCACGATGAAAACTATAATATAAGGTAATTAGGTAAAACAAGATATCATGAGCTCCTGAGTAAAAAGCCAAAACAACACTGCACAAGAACACTTCTCTTGTATACCTGGATTCTCATGCGCAGAAGGGTAGGTCAATATAGAGTCTCCAATGAGATTCAGAAATTTGTATTACCGTCACTACATCTTTCTTTATTTGGTTTCTCATAAGTTTGTAACTAAGAACAAAGACCATTAATTGTTTTAAACATTGAGTTGAGTTAATTACATTGCACTTGCACGTGTGTTTCTGCCATCTTGATTGGGAAAAAAATCCGGCATGGACCTATTGTTTATTGAAACCAAGTGTGTGCTAGTTGAAAATTAAGTTGAAGCATCATACCTAGAATTCCTGGATGGCCTCGTCTCTTTTTCACTACAGGCATTTCTGTGTCAGCTTTGCTTGACCCAGCAGGGCAAGCTTCTAGCTTTGCCTGCTGCTGGAAGTTGTTGAGGGATTCTTCTTCCGACGTGTGTGACATTACTTGGAGGTTCAGATACTGGATGCAGAGGGTGCCAGCAAGGTGAAGGGGGGTGGTGATTTATGCACAACGGAACGAAGGGGCCACAATTAGAGAATAGGAAAATGGTTGATGAACTTTCAGTCAGCATCACGACTGCAATGATGCTAGCACTATATATTGTTTAATAACCCATGGAATGCGACTCTGATTGTCTCATCAGAATGAATGTTCCATTTATTATTTCTAAAGGATTTGTCAATATCCTCAACCTGACGTTTGCTAAGCAAAGCTCCACATGAACAGAAGAGAACTAGTCTGAATTGAGCTACTGTATACTCATTTCGTCGCACTCCCTTTACTGTTATGTTATGCCTGCCTGCCTGGTGTGCCACTCTTACTATTTTGATAGAAAGATTTATGATACTGTGATCTGCAGACGGTAATTTCTGCTGCTGCTGCTGATTTTTTACAGAGTGTAGAAATCTGTGCGCGCTTTGCAATCATCGACAGGAGAAGCTGTAATGCATGTCATGTTTCACCCTGGGGATTAAACTAGCCTGTCAGCGTCAAGACGGATCGTCTGGGTGGTCAATTGGTGTCGCAATCAGACGGGGGAATAAAATGGAGGCGATCTGTGTGAAGAGCAGGCAGGAGACGGTTTTGTCGGTACAAGGGGGATGCAATGCATGCCAACGGTGAGATCCGGCCGGGAGAAGAAACAAACATAGGCCGCAGTTTTTGTATCCGGCCTTGCCGTGGTATAATGGCATCAACGATCAAGCTCCTCTCCTCTCTTCGGTGCAACTGTGAGATCTTCCCTTGCTGTTTTAGTATTTGGAGTTTCCTGCTGCATGGAGCTGGCCGGGAGGTTTGAAGAGTTCTACAATGCACAAGCTGTGTTACCACAAGAGGCTAAAGTGTATGTCAAATGGACCGTTCGGCGGTTTGGCATCTGGCCATATGTCACGGTGAATAGCATCATCCTTCCTTCAAGTCCTAGACATGGCCTTTGTTTGATCAATCTGCTGTACGTTTGATGATATACTAATTGTTAGGATTTTGTCTTATGACCTCTCTGTTAACTTGGCCTAGCTTTCAGATGTTAAGTTGTCAGCAGGATTTATCCAGTGGGTTGTTATTGCCAAATTAAAACCCCAAAAGTATAGATGGTGCTTCTGTGCTCATCACTGTGCCATTAGCCCATTGCCTGATAGTCCGACATCCGTTGGAATTGGAACTGTGCATAACAAATCATCAGGAAGTGTGCTGGGTCTGGCCATCAGTCACTCTGGAGCAAGATGATCGTGCCTGCGTTTCTTCCTCCGACACAGGAGCCCAAGCCAGCACTGTCTTCGTTTGGTGACATCGAATACAGTACAAACAAAGCCGAAGCCATTATCCGGACTGCCCTATGCTTGCATCCTGCTTGGTTCAGCAGCTTGTGGATTTACAGTTTCAGCTCAGGCCTGGATCCTTCTGAATATTAACAGACAAGAGAAAGGACACAGAGGCAAATTTACACTTTCAGCAAGACAACGACTGTAAAGGACGGCATGGCAGACTAATGCCTCTCTGTGCGTGTACCCGTGTATGCCATGTTTGTGTACGTATGCAGTGATTTTTTGTGTTGCCCACGCACTTTTCTCTCTCTCTCTCTCTCTCTCTCTTTTGAGGAAACTGGAGGGGCCGAGGCCCCTACAGATAGGATATATATTAAAAAAAGAGTTAAAGATTACAGGCACAGCTTCAAGAAACAAAGAAAGAAACAAAACATATCAGGAATTACAATATTGTTTGTATCCATTGATCAAACTGAGTAGCAAGGCTTGGCTTAACTCTATGCAAGAGCAAGAGCATTTCTGACGAAAACAGTCTTCTAGCCAGTGTTATTGATGGCTGAATGCCCTTGAAGATTAAGTCATTCCTGACAGTCTTGTCCAGCAAATGAGCACTACTGCTGACATGAAGAATTGTGAGTGAAGTCTGTCTTTGAGATAACCTGAGAGCTCTGGGAATGTTTCATTCAGTGGGATGTCAATGTTTATTAGTTCCCAGCATTGCTTTGCAAATGGACACTGTAGGAAAAGATGCCGACAAGTTTCTTCTGTGTTGTGTAAGCATAATACACAGTTGTAGGAGTCCAAGTGCATATTCTTCCTTTTCAGAATCATATTGTGATCTCTGAGTACTCAACGTCTGAACCGGCAGCTGCTGGTGCTTCAGCATCACAGATGGAATGGATCTTGGCAATTTGCAACAGAGACAACTATTACTAGTAACTATCCATGCAAATACATGTGCACAACAGATTAATGAACAATCTTCTCTACAATTGCTGGGCACGCCATTGGAAGTTGGAACTTGGAACAAAGCTAGGTAGCACAAAGGAAAACACGCCCTACTACTACGTAGAATAGAAGAGATGGAGTGAGTGAGGTCAGATCTCGTAGGTGATGCCGACCCTGAGCAGCTGGTCCTTGAGGATGGACAGCGCCTTGTGTCTCTCCCGGAGATTCTTCCGTAGGAAGCCGTACACGCTGTTCACCACCACCCGTTTCAGTAGCGACGACCCCGCCGCTGCCGTCACCGTGGCCTCCCCCATCAGGTACACCACCCCGCGCTCCGCCTCCGCGTCGATGAACCGCTGCTCCTCCTCCGCCACCGCCGCCGATGAACCGCTGCTAGCGGCGAAGGCGGCCTCCTCCTGGACGAACGTCTTGAGGCGGTCCAGGAGGAAGGCGACGAACTCCCGGTGCCCCTCCATCGGGTTCGTGTAGCCGTACCTCGCCACGCAGCGGAACACGCGGTGGTCCACGGGGCCGACGCGGCGAAAGATGAAGCGCTCCGGCGCCGCCACCCGCGGGATAGGGAGGTGCTTGATGGACACGAAGACGAAGACGGCGTGCACGGAGGGGATCTTGTCCACCAGACGCGGGAACACGGGCGGGATCCCCTGGACCAGCTCCGAGTAGAGCAGCCCGACGCCGGGCACCCGGCGCACGTCGCGGCGCGCCAGCACGGCCGCCAGCTCGGCAGCTGGCACCGCGCGGTCCAGCTCGTACCAGTAGCGCAGGACGTGGACGTAGTGCCACGCCGCCATGAGCGCCATGAGCACCAGTGAGAAGCAGAAGGGCAGGTACCCGCCCTCGGCGAACTTGGAGAGGATGGAGGAGAGGTAGAGGAACTCGACGAGGCCGAAGACGGCGGACAGCGCCGGGTGCGCGCGCCACACCAGCAGCATCACCACCGCCAGCAGGTGCGTGGTGATGGAGAACACGGTCACCACGCAGATCCCGTACGCGTTGCCGATGTTGGCCGTGGTCTGGAACCCCAGCGTGACGGCCACGCTGGCGGCGCCGATCAGGAAGTTCACCTCGGGGAGGTACACCTGGCCCGCGTACTTGCTGGAGGTGTGCACCACCTCCACCCGTGGGAAGCAGCCCAGGGACAGGGCCTTGGACAGGATGGCGAACGCGCCCGACAGCATGGCTTGGCTCGCGATGATGGCCGCCAGGATCGCCACCAGGAACACCGGCCAGAACATGGGCGCTGCATTTTTTAGCTCTCGGCTTCAGCTTCCAACTTTCGATTCGATGTATGTAGTACATACATGTGCAGGTTACGTAAACAGTAGAAGACACCTACCTGGGATGGACTTGTAGAAGGTGTCGACAACGTTTTCAGGGAATTTTCGCAGGTAGGGCGCCTGACCCATGTAGCATAGCGCCACCGAGGGGAAGAGGATGCATGTGAAGCTGATCTGCGGGAGCAAACCAAAAATTTGGTACCGTAACAGCGTTGTATAACAATTAGCAAGATGTTCCGGTTCTGACAGCTGAAGAGTCAAATGCTGAAGGAACTGAAAGTAAAGCTATGGCTGATGGTACCTGAATGGCCCTGATGTTAAAATGGCCGAGATCCGCAAACATGGCCTCCGTGCCTGTGATGCAAAGGACGACACCCCCAAGCGAGACCCATGCCTCCTTTCCGTTCCTCCTGAAGTAGTCGACAATGTACATGGGGTTGAAGGCGCGGAGGACGGTGGCATCGTGCACGGAGGTTGTACATCCCAGTGCCGGCGATGAGGACGAACCACACAGATATGATGGGCGCGAAGGAGTAGCCCACCTTGTCGGTGCCGAAGCGCTGCACCGAGAAGAGAAGGAACAGTATGGCCACCGAGATCCACACCACCTCCGCTGTAGCAAAAACGACAACAGGATCCCCTTGAGAGGTTAGCGAGCCATCTAGTGTCATGAAGAAAATGCAGATCGACTCAAGAGGTCATCGAGCAGTTCGAGTCGCTCCCCCTGAGCTCGCCAAGGGACTCGGGGGCGCTCGCCGGTGCCGCTAGCCGCCCTCCCCTGAGCCACCTCCTCAGTCGCCGCCTTCCGGTGCGCGGCGGCGGAGGCCAGCGGCTGTGGCAGAACTACCCGAAATAACACAATTACAGAGGCGCTCGTCTTCCACCAGACACTAAGCACCCCGTAAGCGAGCTACAGCGGGCGGTATCCGTCGGTCACACCTCAAGGGAGAGCCCGAAAGATCCACATTTTTTCCCGATGATCCAATAATAAGAACGAGTTACAATACTTATCCATTTCATACATAAGAAGTTCTTAAAAATTACATTATTACATTACCAAATGTCAGAGTGCAGAATAATAAATAGCGGAATGAAAATAAACATCGAGTAAAACATCTAGCCATAGTAAGCAAGGATTTCGTCTGTGCCCACCAGAAGAACCCTTCACACAATGGTACTTTTCAAGCATTACCTGCAACAGGGATAAATAAACCATGAGTACACAATGTACTCGCAAGACTTATCCGACTAGTGGGAATAATTTCTCGACTCCAAAGGATATGCAAATCTTTATGGTTTGCTGGTTTCCTTTTTGCAGAAAGCAATACTAATAGTGAGTCCTTCTTTATGTTATTGTTAACAGCCGTATTAATTTATTATCTAGCCAATCTATGTAAGCACTTGTTCTACTTTCAAGCAAGAGTTCAGCAATCAGTTCCATTTCATCACCTTCCATCTTTCAGTTCTTACTACGGTGCTAGACACAAAACAAGCCGTACCGGATTGCCCAGCGATTCGCGAATTAATGCCCCCAGCTGGACAAACCAAACAAACAGTGAGCAGTGAGAATATAGAGTCCTCAAACTAACCGGACAATGGCATAGAGATTGTGAAAAGTTGTTTGTATAATTTGATTTTACGAACTAAGCGTAGCTCGGTCGGTGTGGTTTCTACTAGTGGTATCTGTCCACCTATATTCAGGCTCTTGACTTAAGCTAGCACTTGTATTTTCCTAAATTAATTCTAAAATTTAACAACATTAATTTTTTAGTGGCAGGTGACGAGATCCTAACATATAGGGGTATATTAAGCCTGGGGATCTAAGATTCCCGACCGGGAGACCCCTGACCGACCCTTCCAGGATTGCCCGGGGGATCAGGGGCTAAATCCCTTGGGTGTGCTCGCGAGCACCCTTAGGCTAAGGAATCGGGTCGAGCCCGAGCACGCCCTCCGCCTCTGCTCGGGACTCGGGTGCTTGCTCGAGCTTCAGGCTCCCAATCGATGGGAGTCTACCCGATCCTTGCCCCCCTCCCGGCCTTCGACACACTAGCCAAGGCCTAGGCCTAAGACAGGCGCCCCGAGCCTCCAAGGCTCGGAGGCTCCCCTAGCGCTGTCCAGCAGGCGTGGCGCTGTCAACCACTCCTTCAACAGGGTCATGCACGGGGCGTGACGGAAGAAAACAAACTCCTTCGCTGGCTTCAGGGGCTTGGAGGCTTCCGGGCCTATGCGCCAACCCCTCAAGCCGGCTGCCTTCGCCACCAAGAAGCATACAGAAGGTGCACCTGGTGGAGGCCGGTCCAAGCCAACGGAGCCTGACACTCAGCGTGTCAGAACAGAGCAGCCGAACCGCGCCCAGAGCTTCTTCGGCTCCACGACAATGCCAAGGTCCACACGATGCCGCTGCAAGACCCTCCTGAACTTCGGCGCATGTAGACCATAGGCTAAACTCCCCAAACTGCCGTGTACCTGACCTACCTCGATAAATAAGGGGGAGGTCGGATCCTAGAGAGGGGAAGGACGATTCCAAATAGTTCATTCCAGTCCTCAACAAATAGCTCGAGCTCTGCACCGAGAGTAGAGCCACCCCGAGAGGAGTACCAAGAGCTCCTCCCCCGCTTCCATCGTCTTCCTCCTCTCCGACGAGGGGGAAGACCTCATCGACGGTGAGATTTCTAGGATCAGCACCGAAAGATCCCCTACCAAATCTCTATCTTACACTCTGTTGTAACCCCTCGATTTTGGGTGCTCTTGAATATAAGAATCATTAGCTGCTGGGCGTAGGCCCCAATAGCCCGAACCAGGATAAACCGTGCGTCCTCTTTATGTTCTTTGTGTTCTTGAGTCCACATAAGCCACTGGAGACACACACTCAGAGACACCCGACGAACAACAATGCTTGGCACGGTTTTGACCCCGCGACAGTAGGCGATGAGGTGACGTGCTTGTCTATAGGGAGACACTCATGATAACTTTGTCAATCTCGAGATATGTCAAGATTTGTTAGGGTCTATTTGGAATACATGAGTTTTATAGGAATTTCACAGGAATCAGTTCATTTTCTGTTTGGAATACATGAGCTTCATAGGAGTTTCACAGGATCAGTTCATTTTCACATGAAAAAAAACACAGGAATAGAAAAAAATTCCCGTATTAGGCTAGGAAGAGTGAAAATGGTACAAATATTTTCTGTCCAAATCCGAGTCCAGATATTCAATATCTGACACAATATATATCCATATCCAAATACTTAACTTAGATATATATGGTGCCGATATCCATTTATATTTTAGCGGGGACATAGCTAACACTATTCGCATCCAAATCCAAATTCGAGAAATAATGTAGTTATATGTATGTATCCGTAGATATATGTGTTCGACCGTTTGCACTCCAGATTGTCACCTAATTTGGACCACATACACTTTGGACCATGATGTAGATCATGAGGTACTAAGACATGGTTTAAATAAAAGATTTCTTAAAACTCACATGCACTTAGGGCATGTTTGGTTGCTCTACTGGCCTGGTCATCACAGGCCAGACAGAGACAACCATCACAGCCCCAAGGGTACATAATCGGACGCCTAGGAATGGTGCCTCGAAGGCAGGGACCAAACAGGCCTTTAATGGCCAAACGATTTGGACCTACACTTCCTTCTTTCTGGAAACAAGCAAAAATTCCTGAAATGTTATATATATATATATATAAAAGATAAAAAAGCGAAAAAATAGTAAATACCTCGATCTCACCCAATTGATTTCTACTCACGACTTGTGTCATCCTTCGCTTGGATGTTTAGAAAACAGGTCATCAGGCAAAGGGCCGGGGATGGATGGAGAAATGAAAGATCAGTAGTTACGCATCACCTGCAGGAAAGCGACTGAAGGCCGCGCGGCGCACGTCGACGAGCTCCGGCGACCCAACTTCGTCGGGCGTTCGATGTGGAGGTGTATCCACCACAAGTCCACAACCAGGTCGAGGTTGATACTCTAATATGCTTATATGCAGTTGTCAAGTTCTAGCGAGAACGAAGAGCCCGTTTGGTTTGAAGGCAGAAGATGGCTCTTAATACAGATATATAGATAGAGATTTGCACGTGCAACTGTGAAAGACAAGTAACTTGTCGCTATGATAGATACGGTGAAGAAATGGGGAGTACTTATTGCAGCGGTACTGTTAACGACGTATTGTACTGAACGCTGCTATCTGCACTAGCTTACTGCGTCTTGCTATAGCTGATTGTCCATATCGCAATGATATATACAGTGTGAAGAAATTAACACGGGAGTGGCTTTATGCGGTCTATTATATACTCTCTCTCTCTCTCTCTCCATATTCTTTTATAAGGCACACACATGTATATTAAAATTTAAACTTTTAAATATTTGGTCAATAATTTGGCTTACCATTTTAAACTATTTTAATAGTTAATACAAACTTTATATGGTTAGATTTTTGAACAAATCTACTATCCAAATATAACAAAATTTTAAACATAAACAATATAATATAAAATAAATAAATAAATAAAGTGTAATTTAGGAAGCCGTGTCATATTAAACTACACCCTATTAAAAAATAAAACAGAGTTAGTCTAATATCAGTGGTTTGAGCCCCAAACTTCCGACTTTTAGTAGGGCTTTACTCATTATATATTGCAGTAAGCGAATGCATGCTGCTGCGTTTCTTGGGTTCTCCTAGAAATCATAAAACCCTATTTAATAGGAGAATTTGATGTAGATTTTCTCGAAAAATGTTTCTCTGGGAACCTGAATCCCTAGCAAACAAGGTCTACCTTAACCCACTTTGTCTCTTTTGCTCACTTACAGTGGCCATAATGGCATGGTGGATAATAATTGTTTTGTACAATTTGGCAAAACTGGTGGAGGCTGGACTGTAGTGGACCATGACAAGATTGTGAAAGCTATGGGAAAAAGACTCGCAGCTTGTTTCAACTTCAAA